TGTTTTAATTCTGTAATTGTTTTATTCTGTTATTTATGATATTGTAAACCATTGAGAATAGTTTGGTAAAGAAATGGGCAGCATTCAAATTTAAGAAATAAATAAGTTGGGAGTGAAATAGAAAAATATTATAATGTTTTAGTAAGTTAGACACAATATTATAATAATTCTTTTTATTTTTAATAAAAGCTTGCTATGTATTTTGAACAAGGCTTCAGGTCCCTAACTGATACCATGAACTAGGTCTGTGCAAAGCATTTGGAAGGTGTATTTTATAAAATATATAAGTGTAAGGAAGAACTCCTCTCTAAATATTACAGCAATCACATTTTGCAAGGCTGGTGTGGGGTTGGGTGCTTCTTAGTCTGGCTCTAGATGTCTGGAAATATTTGTCCATGTAGCTTTCCCTGATGAAACCACTAGAGGCTGTGCATGTACACACATGGAGACAACTGGGTACAGTCTTCATGGCAGCCATACTAGCCTTACAAAGTAGGTATCTACTTTAATGTTTTGAACAGAGAGCTTTACTTCCATGAAAATACTTTTTTCAGTTGCTGGGCATAGTTGTACTATGAAGTAATATCATATAATGTTGTGATGATTGTACAGGTAAGACAATAACTAAAACAACTATGCTCTGTAGATACACAAAGCTGCTACCATGACATTAAGATACAGTATAACCCCAAAGTAAAAAAAAAATCTACTATGTAGAATTGACTATTGTTCATCTTTTTCCCAAAGGTTCAAGGCAGTACTTATAGTGCTTTATCCTCAACAGCCCTGTGAGTTAAGAGAGGATGACTGGCCCCAAATCATTCAGTGAGTTCCAGAACAGATAAGGATTTGAACCTCTAGGACTCTCTAAATCCCACATTTTATTAGTTTAAAATACTGCTGGTTGATTAATTCTTCTCTTATGCAAAACTGTTATTTCAACACCTTATATACAACATTAATTTAGATATAGAATTAATTTCTCTGATAGAACTGTGACAACTGGAAAAAAGCATTTGGCTGAAGGACAATAGGAAATTACTAAGATACAGTATGAATTTTTATTTCCCCAGGAAACCCACATTTCACACATTGGCCTAAGTCAATTATGAATTATCATGACAGCATAGATTCTTCCAGGAACAGTCTGCTATTATAAATCAAAATGAGGAGATACAAGTGTTCATAAGAAAGACGATAAGACGGCAATCGCTTTGTTTGATCCGGGGAAAGCCCTCTGAACCCGACAGGAGAAAGGCTAGTGTGAGATCAGCGTCTAGCCCAAGCTGCTTGCAGCCGAAGTCCCAGACTTAAACATCGGTGAACAGCGTGCTTGGAATTGGTGAGAGTACTGATCTTCTTTCTTCTATCTAATATTTAAATCCTTGAAAAGATCCCCAAAGCAAGAAAACCTCCAGAAGTGAAGGGAGGGGATTATATCCCCATTTCCTTATAGACAGAAGTGGCAAATTAACATAAAGGGTTGAAAGAGATATACTAAAATTTGATTTAAAATATTTCAGTTTGGACAAATCTAGGAACTAAAAAACTGTCAAGATTATACCCTAAAAAATTTCTGATGGAATTATAAAAATATATAGTAAAAAAATAACTTTTTGATAGAAAGAAAAACTGAAAAAAGAAATAACTGCTGACACCTAATGGAGAATCAAAGAATAGAATAGTAAGGACTCAGAAATTGGCAAAATGCCCAGAAACAAAGAAAAAGTTGTTTCTTTGAATTGCAAATAACCTTGAAGACAGTTGGGAACAAAGGAAGAGCCAGCTATAAGATTAAAAAGTGTTTGAAAGAACAACAACAACAACACCTGGACTGTTGCTTAAACTTAAGAACTGTTTATGTAAAAAAAAAACCTTTGGCTTTTTGGCTAATCTTTTAGAGGAGAATTTGCAGGATTTAATGTGGCTTAATATACTGAATCTGTAATTTTGACTGACTGATAAATTGACTTTTGAATTAAAACATTGATGAAAGATTATTTGAAGGGGGGGAGACAACATGGATATCACATACATATCAAAAAATGACAGGATGCCACATTCAATATTTTCTCCTGAAGGACTTAGCCTGGAAAATCAAGGGCCTCCAGAAGCAATACTTCAAGGCAAGATAAATACTTTCCCAGAGGAAATATATGTAATGTTAGGACAAATACAAATGACAATAGATTCAAACCATGATGAAATTTGAAACAGCTTTGAGGATTTAAATAAGCATATTTCCAATCTAAATCTACAATTAAAAAATACCCAGGAAATAACAACAAAGGAACAAACAAATCAGACAGCAGATTACAAATTGGAAGAATATGATCAAATTGATGAAATAACAAAGGAAAAAAATTACAATTTGACATAAACAGGAAAAAATCTACAAGGTTCTGATACAACAAGAAAAATGGAATTATTAGGAGAATTATTAAAGTTTGGGGGACAGAAAGAATTTATCTTACTTACTTCATCTTTTGTATTCCCAACAACATTTGTAAAAATACAGGAACTATTGGGTAAGCGGATTACATCAATTTGCAAAATTACTTGGCAAAAGAAGATTATCAGAGACAGATACAAGAGATTTGACTCGCCCTACTAGATGGACTATTATGTGAATAAACATTTGTTTGAATATGGCTAAAAGAACAGAGAAGTTTGAACATAAAGGGGCCTTATAACAAGAAGGATAATGAGATTTAAGTAATATAGTATGTTTTATAATATATTAAATGTTAAAATTGTAGGTTGATGTAACTTTTATTAATATATAAGTAAAATATAAACTGATTAAAAAGGATGTTATATCTAGATATTATAAGACAGATAAAAAGTATAGTATTTTTATAATGTATGACATAAAATATTGGGATGATGTACCTAAATGGGAAAATTTAGACAGTGAGATGACTAATATGAAGAAATTATGACTGATAAGAATTGGATTGAATATAAGGGAATCTAAGTGAATAAAAAATATAAAAATAGGATGTATGCTGAACTAATGAGATAATGGTTATAAGGATAATATAAGCTGAAAAAATGTTATATATAGAGATTATTATTATTTGTATAAATATAAAAAATGCCTATACCTAATCATTTATATATTGAAAACATTAAGAATTATATTTTGGCCAAGGTTGAAGAAGGAAAATACAAATGGGAGAAGGGAAGATCAAAGAAATGCATTATTAATTAATGTAATAATTATGAAATTATCAAATTTAATCATTATTGACTGTTAATTAATTATTACTGTCCTTTTTTCTTGTTAAAACATAAACCAAGACAACACGCTGTACACCAGGCATTGGAAATTGTTATAGTTAAAAATGAATAAAATATCTATATATATAAAAAAAGATTGTCAGCCTCCATTTCAATTTTTTTGCAGTGGATATTTGGACATATCCTTGAGGTAACCCACTGCATGCTTCCCTCCATGTAGTTCCACTAAGGACTACATGCTGAGTCTGGTTGGTTACTTACTATGGTTGGTTACTTACAATGGATTCATGTAATTGTGGGTGTCACAGCATCCCTGCAGTCATGCAATTGTCACTTATAATCATTCTTAATTATGCAGTGTTCCCCAGACACATGGTTGCCATTTATGACTTTCAATACCAGCTTCCCAACAATTTCATAGATGAAGTACATCTATGAAATATATTTCAAAACTATTGTTTTGATTATTATTGTTGTACAAACTTACACAAAATCAAACTTGGCTAAGGTTGGCACTAGCACCACCACCACTACCATTAACACAACCACTACCACTACTACCATCATCACCAAAATTTTACAATTTCAAGCCAGAAGACCTCTCTCTCTGTCTCTCTGTCTCTCTCTCTCTCTCTCTCTCTGAAGTGTTGTCAGTTGAGGACTATCTGTACATGGGTCACTTGTTTTAGTGTTATCAAAAAAGGAGCTTTGTATACCACAAATCATTCAGAACTTTAAGATAAATTTTAATTTGCTAAAAAAATGTCAAAATCCTAAAAATCCTAAAAATCCTCCTCCTCCTCTGTACACATTGTTGAACTTTGCCTTCCAGCCCCTGCTTCAATAGATTTGCAGTAGAAAAATATGTTTGCCCCTACTTGCCCATTAAAGAATGGAGAAAAAGTAATGGCCGCTATTTTTTATTTCTCCTGCCCTGCAGCAGGGTTCGGAAAATACTGAAGTGATTCATTGTCAGTTTCTGTGGCTTAATGATAGGAGCTGATTTAATAATTTATTTATATTTTTTATCTGTCAGATGACTATCTTTGCTTTCCTTGAAGCTCACTAGCAACTGCTATAACCAAGGGGGAGGGGCATATGGGAGGGGAAGAGTGCTGGAGGCATGAAAGAATGCTGTGGGAATTTGGGGAGGAACAGGAACCAGAGGTGCCAAACCGACCCCAGCCCTGGGAAAGGAATTTACAATGGTGCCTGAGGCACCAGGTTCCCAAAACATTGGAACATAGCCTGATTGGACTACTCTCACTGGGGGCAGGGTTTTGGACATAGGGAATTGCTTTCAATATATGATTTTTGCACAGTTTTTCTTCAGAGCTTGCCTCACTCGAGCTGCACTCAGCATCTCTAGTGAAAGTACCTTTTCTCTAACACCTATGGAGTTAAGGGCTGTTCTTTCCTAGGGAGTAAGCTAGTTCTTGCTCTTCAGATTTGCTAAAAAATTAAATCTGACTTCCATTTTTATATCACAATTACTTTAACAGAGCAGGCCTTTTGAAGAGTGAAGGATGAAAATAATAAAAACTGAAATCATTGATTATTTTTTTTTAAATCTGATCATATATGGGACTTACTGTATATCAGAGAAGCAACTGGCATTGTATGTATGTTTTATTTATTTTGTAAACTGGAGTTTAACTCTAAACTCTGGATAACTTACAATTAAAAAGAGTTGAATAATGTACTAATTAAAGCTAGTATCCATATAAACATAAACAATTTCTGAAAGAGATTTTTACCTATGACTTTTCCTAGAAAGAGTGACTTCAGTGAGCTGAACTGAAGGCTCGAAGGTCCTGGTATGGTGTAGCTTACTGGGGGATAAAGGTCCAGCTAGAGAAACATGAAAACAAAGATGTCAAACTTTGAAGATTGCAGGCTAATAAAATTACTGAAATGGATCTTCCCTGATGATATACATTACTTTGCTTTCAGATGTTCTTGTTTCATCCCTGATAAGCAGTTTACCACCGTTGTCATACTTAGAGAATCAAGATCAGGCTATTTGAAAAGGTGCTTCCTAAATATGGTATCCATACAATCCCACTCCACCTCAAATTCACTTGGTCACATAAAATCACAACAATCAGGAGGCTACTAGCACCTTTACTGACTAATATATTTTATTAAAAGGCATACACTTTCATAAGCTGCCACCATAGATTAACACAGTTGTCCATCTATAAGACACACAATAATTTCTATTTATCCATTAAGTGAGAAGCTGAAGTGAGAGACATTTATTTAATCTCTCATTATATTTTTGGAAGATTGCAAAAAGAAATTTATTCAGATTTGACACAGATCCAAATGGTAAATTTGATATCAAATTTTGCTAAGATTGAATTGAGAGTAAGAGAAAAAAGACAGCATTCTAGGTTTAAAATTCATTTTCAGTTTTTTGTTTTCAACAAATTTGATTTGTTGAATTTGGATTTCTTTATTACAAAATAAAAAACACCTCATATTTATTTTGGGATACTCTGATATTTCTATTATTTGAAACATAGAAATACATAAAATCTATTGAATTTAGATTTAAAAGTTGTTTAAATATTTTTCACTTTAATATAAATTGATATTAGGGTTTAAGAGGAGCTAGAAATAGGGATGTAGAGAAAAGAGTATAAATTTCACAGCCCAATAAATTTTGGTATATTGTTATAAATGCAATCTTCTGATGTTTAAACTGACCTTTTAGTTTGCTTATATAATTATACGAAAGTATTTAGATATTCTTGGCCAAATGCTGAAATTGGTTAATGCCACAAATAAAGAAGAAAGTTGAATGTAAATTATTACCTTGGCTAGAAAACTTTAAAATACAAAGTTAAAAATTCAGTGCATGGGAGCTGTGTTGTTATCCTTTGACAGAAATACACTACAGTATTAACCTTTAGTAACCCAATCTGATTTTTAAAGAAAAGTTATCACATGGTCAATATCATAAAAAAAAAACATTTATTTTTATACAGACTTATCAGAGTTGGTTTATTACGGTGTACTGCGGTGATATTGCAAGCAAATTTGTCCATTGGATTTACAGGAATATCCCTGTGAATATTATTGTTTTCCACTATTACAGGAATGTGGATATCTTTTCCCAAGGAAATAAATACAGTCATTATTAATGTGTATATGGACGATTAATATGCATATCATAGATCTCACAGGCTCAACAGTTCCAACCCCTCCCCTACTGTCTCCATATGAAATGGCTGACAGACTCAGCAGTTCTGGGAAAATGCACTCAAAGCATGATTGATTGGCCTGGAAATATAGAAGTTATTGTTATGCTGGCAGGAATCTTTTTGGAAGTTGTGATATGATGCCATCTCGTGGCTGTCAAGGAGTAAATCAATAAAAGAGAAAGATTTGCACTACACCCATTTTTGGTATAGTTTTTTCAATAAACTTAAGGGCATGACTAACAATTAAAAAATACAATATGGATGTGTTACTTGCAGAGACATGTAATAGCATAGTTGTCATTTATAATTTTATTGTACACCATTCAGAGTCTTCTGAGTGATATAAAATGGTTAATAAATAAATAAGCAAATTTAATTGTAGTTTGAGATTTTAAAAGATGTTGCATTTAACAACTTTTTTTAAAAAAGAAAAATGATCTAGAAAAAAATCTGTAAAAATATCTGTGAACATAATGAATATAAAATAAAATATAAAATATATTTAGAAATTTCTTTGGCAAGAATGTCTAAATATATGCTATACTATAAAAAGTTGTAAACTCAAAATTCAGTACTATGGTAGTGTTTATGCACATTATGATTCTGTATCACAGTAATATTTCTGTAGGAAAGGTGGGATTTAAATCTAATGAATAATTGAATAATAAATATAATATTTCTTTTAAATAAAATCTGACAAGGGACACAGAATAATCACATTTAGCTTTAGAAAACATGAAATAGACTAGGAAGGAGAGAGGCTAGGTTCACATAAAATAAAGCAAAATGAAACAATTGCTCTGAAGCTCTACATAATTTTCATTTTCAAATATTAAGGCTTTTTTTAAAAAATAATGGTATATAATGATAAAAATTAAAATTTTAACCTTTTCCAAGCCTGTAAAATAAATAAATCACAACTTTCATTCCTTCTTTGATATTCAATTGTACTGTGATGCAATTATAAACATAAGCCAAATTCTTTCTTGCTTGAAAAAAATGATAGGAAATAAGTAATAAAAATCCATTGATCAATGTTTATCCTCTATTTTAAAGATGGAATAAATGTTTCATATATAATTCATTCATATATTACTTAAAATTTCTCCACATTTTGTCTCCATTTAGTCTGTAAATTTGCATTTTCCCAGGATATTTAATACTTAGCAGTGATGTTATTATTCAGCTTCATCCTTTATAAAGTTATTGCTATGCATTTACCTGGAGAATTATGTCTTTTCCTGTCCGCGTGATATTCACACTGTGTGGCTGCCCATTTGACATATTCCTGTGATCTACATTGATGTTGTATGGTTCTTTAGCATCTCCAAGTTTGTATCGAACCTGTAAACTTCCTACAGAATGAAGTAATAAATAATTGAGTTATTTTTATTTCATTCTTAGATTATTCCATTAAAAATCCTACTTTTAATTTTTTATACCCTTCACATTATAGAATATTATGTAAAGTTAACCTAAAGCATGCTGAACTCCTGGTGATTGCATTCATGCAGGGTTTTGGTTGCCTTGTAGTACCACTTGTACGGTCTAAAATTTCTAGAATTTTTCAATAGTCCTGGAAAGTTGTTTCGCCTCTGATTAGCAGGGCCAATCCTTCTTAGCTTCTGAAATCAAGCAAGATTGACATTGTACTATCACCGCTGGTTGTTATAATGAGTTGAAATCCAAGAGATAGTTTACATCCCACAGAGACAACTGTGTGAGAATTCAGCAGTAAATAAAGGGTAACTATGGGTCTCTCCTGGCTTCTTCTTGTCCTATATACAAAACATGCTCTCAAATATCACTTTTAAGTACCATCAATTTTTTTGCAGTATACTGGAGAGGTAAAATGGCAGGAAAAAAAGGACAAATTATTTACCAGCTGGATTCACTAGCACTGCCATGTAGTCCTGAGAATAAGCACTGATGTACAGCAGGATACAAGGAGCTTTGCTAGTGCTGAAGCTAAAACTGATTTCTTCTTTATTGAGACTGAGATCTGATACAAAGTTCTCTGATTCTTTGGAGCTCAAGAGAGTTCTGCTCCCTGAATCCTTCATATTATTTCCTACAGATGAAAAATTATACTGGAGCCACATTCCTTCTTCAAAAAAGGCTCCAACATCTGGTGGAAGAAGAAACAGAGAATACTAAGATAAAAAATGACATGTTTTGATAAGCATATGATATAGGTGCTGTTTTTAAAGACATGGGCAAATGTGATTCACAGCTTCATACATTATATTACAATGGATTGGTATATTTCTCTTTTCTTTCCTCTCATCATAAACCATTTTACCTGCAGATTATATCCTGGCTTAATATCTTGGTGAGTAAACAGACATTAAAAAGGTCCCCATTTTGTTAAAATAAATTAGCATCTCCATGTTTTATGTGGCTGGGATTATAATGTTCACACTTCCTGAATGACTTTCAATTTGTATATTTTTAAATTTATCTACCAATAGATGCATAATGCAAAAATATAAAGTTAGCGGTGGCCTTCAGTCTCTTTTAGAGATTCTAAAACAGGAGTGTCAAACTGCCGGCCCCTCAGGCCAGATGCATCATAGTGAAATTGCGCCCACCCATTGCCAGCAATGGAAAAAAAGTCACGATACATCGTGACACGTCAAATGACATTGCGAGTTTGACACCCCTGTTCTAACGATCCAGGCTTCTTCCAGGTTTCAGGCATCTAGCCAAAGTATGAATGAAAATTCCGGGTACTTAAAAAAAAAGTGTTACCTCAAAGAATGAGATGAAATTCTAATATTTTAAAGTTAAATATTAGGCAAGTACCTACAGTTGAGCCCTTGCTTTGAGTCTGAGCCCAAGCCTGATGCTTTCCTAAAGGCTCCAGTTGGCTTTACAAAGGTTACTATACCCTCTGCTTATCAATCATTGAAATCATTCGGCTATGTTTTAGTAAGGTTGAAAAGGGTAATGTTAAAAATGGGAGGATAAATGCTAAATAAAGACAGGGCTTTTTTTCTCATAGAATGCCCAGAACAGAGTTCCAGCACCTTTTTGGGATGGAATCTTGTAGGGTAGGCAAGGCGGGTTGTATGATGTGTGTGAGTTCCGGTACCTTTTTTTTTTTTTTTTTTTAGAAAAAAAGCACTGAGTAAAGATAATGTAAAAGGAGCAGTATACACATTTTAAGGGACTTCAGAATTCTAGCATGTTTTTATGTTTTATTCTATTTCAGAAAAAAAATATGTTAGAAGTATCTCTGGTGAGATCTGGTAAAACAACCAAATCAATTTTCAGAGTTGTCAGGTCCCTAACGAAATGTTGCCATTCCAAAGGGGAGGGGGAACACATACTATTGTGGACTGAGGATGTTCCTGCATTCTTTCTACTTTCACTTTGATGTATCTGCATGGGAATTAGGGAGGGAGGAAAACTCTCAGAGCTATCTGTTTTAATTCCTGCCAGCTACCAAGGAAGAAGCACCAGAGAACAGCCGGTTATCACCTTTTCAGCTTGAAGTTCTCAAAACATCTTCACGCTAGTGGATTGGGGCATTGGGGATGGGACTAGAAAAATGGGACTTTTAGTTTAACACTTTTGTGTGGGAACTTCAGATTCCACCTTTCTTCTCTGCAATCACTTTCACTCAGTAAAAGATCCTTTTTGAAACAATGCCTGTTTCAAGAGTCATGCTTTCCTGAGAGGATAGCTGAGGCAGGACCTTACAAAATCTCTCTGTGGTGAATTTATAGCTATCATTCTACAGCAGAAACAATAAAAATTATTCAAACTATTCAAATAGAAAGCAATCACATTCTTTCTTTCTTTCTTGCAATATCTAATTTGGCTACTTTATTAAAAATTAAAGTTTTATTTACAAGAGGGTACTATCAAACATGAGCCAAACCCAATCTTACTTTATGTTTCAATGGCATTCTGCCCCCAACATCAAACTTCTCAGATTACCAACTTGGTATTGATTGTACAGGCATTTTCTTAATACATTCAATATCCATAGGTTTATAAGTAGACCTCAAGGATTGCCCTAAATTCAGAGCAAAGATATTTGTCTCCCTGAAGACCATAGGATTAGTTAGGATTGCCAAAAATATTTAATTATCTATCTTGAAACTACATAATCTATTAATAATGTGATTGCTTTTATATATTAAAAATTAATAAAGTATAAGATAATGTTGAAATATTATAGAAAAAACATCTGCATTCTAGAATCTCCCTGTCTTTTCCCAAGAAACTCTTATGATCATCATAGGCTGCATTTATCTTTATACAAACCAATGAAAAGGAAAAGACTTTATGAGTAACTTCTAACCACATTTACTTTTCAGGATGGGCAGGAATAACTGCGGCAGCTTTTGAAGCTGCTAAGCAGCCTCAAAAAATCATATAGTTTTTTAAGTAATAAAGGATCAATCACAGTTTGTATTTCCAGCCATCTCAACAGTTAAAATATGTTTTTTAATTAAGGTTACTAAACAAATAAGGGGTTTCACAAAGAATGAGGAAAGTTGAAAAGAACTAGAATCTGGTGTAGCTTGTGTGGAAGCTGGAGAGAAGGAAGAGAAGAAAGATAACTAGTAAGCAAAGTGAGAATTGAGCAGTCCTGGCTTCTGAAGAGATACAGGATACAAGATCACTCAAGTTTACTAAAAAGAGATTAGGATAGAAGTGGCTATATAACAAGGAGAGCGAGAGCGCGAGTGAGCAAGAGAGAGAAGGGAAAGGAGGAAGAAGGAGAAGAGGTTCCAAATACTAGGTCAATCCACATGCTATGTCCATGTCATCTTCTACATGTCAAGATTCTTTCTTTGGGAGAAAGGGAAGACACTGAAACTTTCTTTGGGATGTATAAGTGGCGAAAAAGAAGGAGGTAAGTCTGGCACATGATCTCACTAGAAAACCTTGAGATCTTATTCTAGATTTTTGGAGAGTATGAGAATGTGAAAAAAAAGTGATTCTATGTAGATGGAGTATATAACTGACAACGATTCAGAGAATGCTCCCATGGTTCACAGGCCTGAGTTACAGAATTTTGATCTAGGTTTCTGAATTCATGATTCAAAAAACAACAAAATGGCAGAAAAACAAACAAACAAAAATGTTAGAAGAAATAACTTGCAAACAGATCTTGTAATTCTACAAGTTCAGCCACTGCTGAATTCAAGAGCACACTCTAATTCACAAAAGATGTAGAAGAAATAATTGAGCTTTATTTTGTATCCTGAACAGCCTTCTCTCCTTTGTGGAACTCATTGCTTAAAGAAAATACAGATAGTCTTCAACTTACAACCATAATGGAACCCACAATTTCTGTTACTAAGTGAGACAGTTTTAAGTGAATTTTGCCCCATTTTATGATCTTTCTTGCACAGTTGTTAAGTAAATCACTGCAGTTGTTAAGTTAGTTACAGGGTTATTAATAGAATCTGGTTTCCCCATTGACTTCACTTGTCAGACGGTCACAAAAGGTGATTACATGATCCCAAGACATTGCAACTATCATAAATATGAGTCAGTTGCCAAGCATCTGAATTTTAATGAAATGACCTTGAAGGTATTGCAACAATCATAAGTGTGAAAAACAGTCACTTTTTTCAGCGACATTGTAACTTCGGTCACTAAACAAATTGTTGTACTTCGAGGACTACCTGCAGTTAAGCGACCATTTTCTTGGATTTTGCTGTGTGTGTGTGTGGTGTGTGTGTGTGTGTGTGTGTGTGTGTGTGTGTGTGAGAGAGAGAGAGAGAGAGAGAGAGAGAATAAGAGCAGGGATGGGGAGACAGGAAAAAACCCCTGATCTGTGAAGTTTTTGATGAATTTGATTTGCTGCCAATATATCTTTTGTTTCTTTTTGGTTACACAATTTAGTTGCATTCTTAACTAAATGCATTGGATGTTCCATTTTCAACAAATTCAGTAAAGCTTAATTGCTCTCATTATATACATCAACTAAAGAATTCTTCTGAATCAAATTATAGGAAGGGATTAAGGAAATAATCCAGGTGAAATAAAATGTTATTTATTTCAATGGAAATTAAACATTTATTTTTCTGTATAGGGACCAAAAACTGCAATCATATCTATCTATCTATCTATATGTCATCTCTCTCTTTTTATAAAATTTGTTGGTCACCCATTTTACCATAAAGTAACTCTGAGCAGCTTACAGATATAAAAATATATCTACATTAATACCTGAATAAATTAAAACCAGAGATCAAGGACACGGGAGGGCAGGGACAGAATGGGAAAAGATGGGATGTTGCAGCTGGAATAATTGGGCTGATGAGACCTGCAGTATGCCACCTCTGCCAGCATGAATGGGATGAGCCAATCCCAGGGGACTGAGACAATTCTTCAAATAACCTTGACCCATGCCATGAAGGGCTTTAAAGGTGATCACAACACCTTGAATTTCACCCAGAAGTAGACCGGCAATCAACGCAACTCACAGAGCAGTGGTGTTACAGGGGCCATTCTTGAGGCACCCAAAACTGTCCATGCTGCCACACTCCGCACAGGTTGTAGCCTCTGAAAACTCTTCAAGGGTAGCCCCAAGTAGAGCGCATTACATTAGTCCAACCATGAGATGACTAGGGACTGAACAGCTGAGTGCAGGGAATCCTGATCCAGGAAAGGCAGCAACTGGTGCACAACACAAAGTTGTGCAAAGATTCTTCTAGCTGCAACTGCCACTTGCCCCTTAAGCAGGAGTTTCAAGTCTAGATGAACCCCCATTGCGAACTGGATCTATCTGGGGAATTGCCACCCCATCCAGAGAAAATTGATTGCAAAGATATTGCTTTTCTCAGCAATAGCTTTATATAAGCTTCATTGTTTAGTTGCATTAATCCATTTCAACAATTAAAGAAATAAATAGCTTATTTTTTACATATTTTAAAATTTTAAATATTTTTAATATTTTAATTTGTTTTTGTTTTTATCTATTTAATAAATAAAAAGCTTAAATAACTAAGATGACGGCAGCAGAGATGGTGGTTTCAGATCACAGGGAGACAAGACAAGAAGGAACTTAATTTAGTGACTTGTCTCTCTGTTATCTGAAACCACCATCTCAGCAGATGGAGAGGAGGAATAAAACTCAGGAAAATAGAAAAGGTAGACAGA